CCGGCATTTCTCAGCGGAAGAAACGGCGCTTATCTCTCACGAGGTCCGCGCGCTTATCGCTGCAACGCCGCCCAGAGGCTAAAACGGCGCCGAAGATTAAGCGGGACGTCCGCGCTACGTCAGCAATCGCTCTACACTCGCGGCTGCGCCGCCGCGGAGGGCGGACGAGTGACCTCCGCACGAGGGGTGGCCGCAAATTCACTCTTCTCTCCTGCGCTTTTTAGAATACACAACGATGGCTACGTATATTCGTAGTTATGTATGACATTCATCAGGTGACAGTATCAACAGCTCAATACAAAAATTCATACTCAATACATGTACATTATTTTACTACACTTTGCCAGATGAAATTGAACGATTAAATTCGATAGAAAAGTTTAAGTCATAACGTAAAATCTTTTCGGCTGCACAACTGTCTCTATAGAATTAAGAGACTATACCGAGCATCCAAAAGGAAAGTAATATTAATTTTAACAACGACATTTAGTGTATTATTTACCATTTGGATTGGATAATTCTAAAGAACCCCTAACAAGTGTTGTACTTCAGCTTCTGGGTCAATGATCCCCATCTCAATCAGGTTTTCGTCCAGTTTCCCTGATCCTTGTGCAAATGCCGAGAAGGCCTTTTGTTTTGCTTCTGGACATAAATGTTACTTCAATTTAACTTCTCCCCATGTCACACAGTTTTTAACTGTTTTTGACGTAAATAAATAAATATGCAACTTCTGTTGGTTTTGTGAAAAAAGTCGCCTATTAATACGGTGGCTGCTTAATAGGGGGAAATTACTTTTTACAAAAAACAAGTTTATTATTACTAGATATCGGACGTTAATGATGATATCTATGTTAACATAATGAATATATTTAACGGGGTTTACATTTGTATACGTGCACAGAATATAAAAAATTAAACATTTTGGCGAAGTTTTATTTTGCCTTTTCTTTTATCAATTTTGACGTACTGATTTTTCAGACCATGTATTATCTAAGAACATTTCTTTCAAATATTCACATATCCTTCTGTTGGTTAACCATTTTCAGTTTTTAGTATTACCAATATTTATTTACCGGTAGCAAACACCCTTTTTTGTGTAGATGGATATGCCATTTGGGTATAACACGTGCGCGTTAGGGCAAGTTGGTGACCCTGACTTGTGGCATTGATATTCTACCGTGCCAGATGTTCCCCAGGAAAGTACCGAAAGGTAAGATAGGCTTTGTTAATTCAAAAATGTAAACGTTACGTTACTTTCATTTCGGCCCACATTAGAAGGAACGAAACTAAAATGGAACGAGAAGCGATACCATATCATTAGCCATCGTAAATTGTTACTTTATTTCCGGAACACCCTCAGTCCGTAGATTTCTTCGATGATTGAAACTCATACGCAGGGCTTGTGAATGCCGTTTACAATGCAATGGTGGCTCGTTGGGGTAGGCAAGGTGATTACTGCTTACCCTGATTAATATGTACTAGTTTAACTCATTTCATAACAAAAACCCGCAGCATTACAATACTTTCTCTAAACTACGCAAGCAGTAGCGAGTTAGTAGAATTAAATTACCATTACAATTTTAATATGGTGAAAGTATTATCCATCTGAAAATGCTTAATGGTCATTTTATGACCGTGGCAAGAGCCATATTTCCATTTCCAGCCTTCTCTAACAGCCCGTGCGCCATGCGGTCTGTATCGACTCTTCCCGTAGTCATACGCTCGCTTGCATCTCTCAGGGTAGGCATGCCCGGGCGTAGCCTCGCTTCGCGCAGTGTTCTGAGAAACGACCATACATTGAGCGCGAAAAGTAGCATGCACTCACATGCAAGCAGTTCAGCGCACGTGTTTACTGTTTTGTTGATGAGTTAAGAAGAGAAAAAAAATTATTATTTAGGAAATATTTATTTTTCATTTTAAATTGGAGTGCTCCGGATTAGTAGAGTTACTTGATTTTTTACATTTCAATCTGAGTTTTATGACAGATACAGTGAACGAACTACTACGTACACAGTTTTGTCGTTTTAACTATGTACAAACAGAGACAAATTTGGGACAGTGGTCGACCTACTCCTAAGTTGAGTACAGTCGTACATCGAAAAATGGCGAGGAAAATGAAAGAAAATGCACTCCTTCATGGAAAGATTCACACAAATAACTAACAGGTAGTGAAGTGAAAGCTTCATTGTTGGCCATTTCTTTTATTGTTAATTAAGGAGAGTACTTGGAATAGAGATGGGTATTTTGACGTAAAACATTTTAACAAAAGTTATACAAAACATGAAATGCCAAAATATCACACAGGTAATTCAATAGACGTTCAACACATGGGGGAAAAAAATTGAATCTGATTTCTGAGTTGTAGTCAGAGCAATATATACTCGCAATCATCTTTTAGAATCTGTAATCATGTCTGCGCGTGCTTCTTAGAATATTGTTTTGGGATATAAAAATATCCGTGAGACAATTGCTTTGAATAAATTGAATAAAATGCCCACCCCCAAATGGATTTAGGTGGAACATTGCCCCCATAGCCTCTTCCAGCGATCCGCCGCTATTCAGTAATATGTTGTGCCTCTTACCATGAACATTTATGTACGAGACACCACTGTTGCAATGTCAAAATACTGAAAGTGATCCTTTAAAAGGGGTAAATTAACAGAATTGCCACGACAGGGTGGTGGTCGGGTTGAGGGGGTGGTCCATTAACAGAGATACGATTTTATACAATATTTTCAGACTCAGTTCCAAGAAAAATCAGTCGTTGAGAGTAATGGTTCTTTCAGAGAGGTTTCAATGAAGCATGTTCTACAGGAAACAGCCAATTCAGAAACGATTGTTTTTAGGGAACGGAATGTTTTGTAATAAAAGAAGCATACTATATAAGTATACCGAATAAATACTTTCTTGCGGAAAATAGCACACAAGTGTGCTTCCGATATTAACAATAAATTTACTTTAAATCATTTTCGCCTTAGAAGCTTCGATTGCATTAAATTTAAAAATAAATAATTTTCCAATTTCATCGCAACATGTATGTCACCGGAAATGCGGGCGCATTTGTAGCATTTGAAGCTAGGTTGTAGAGTCTAAAATACAGACTGGGAAGGTCATCATTAGAGCTGGGAAGTTCATGAAATTGCACATTTTTGTTAATGGTCATATGTTCCTAACCTTCAAATATGTAGTATATTTCACAGCAAAATGTTTAAAAAAGTCAGAAATGAAGAAACGTTTTGCTTGTATGTTTTGTATATTTAGAGTGTTGAAGATATAAATTTTACACAAGTGACATTTTACCTAAAATAACACTAAAATATTAAATTCCACATAAAAATATTTATTAATGGAAAGCATGAACTCTCTTGTAGATTCAAACACGTTAGTACAATGCGTTTCAGACTACTGACGGCCAACACCGCCGAATTAATATCTGCTGTCATCAGATTATCGCCAAGAGTTTTGACACCTCACCCTTTCTTTCAGCATCCTTTGATTAACCTTGCTTGGCAAGACATCATCTTTCCCCAATCTTCCCTTACAGAAAGTGAGTGGCGCGTCCCCCCTCCCTCCCTCTCTTGCTAATTCAGTTGCTCTAGGTGGAAAAATATGTAATGTCATTGTAAAATACATTTTCGTGACCAAACGCTGCGTGTATTAACAATTTCTGTGGATATTTCAACATTTTGTGGCATATTTCACGGCTAAAAGCTTGCATAAACATACTAGCTCTAGCCACTAGCGTCATTTGAGGACAAGTGGACTGCAATTTTGTCGGCCGACTTGCGGTTAATCTGCCGGGTGCGATTTCAGGGCTACGCGCGATATATAATAATTTCCATATCAATTCCTTCTAAACACAAATGTTTGTTTTTCGTTTCGGTTTAGTAGTGAATATATTTCGGGCAAATATATGAGTCAATAATTTAGCAATCTGCTAAAATATTGAGCAACATTTTAAACATTCCAAGAAAACAATTTGTGCAAAAATGTAATAAAAAGTATTTAAATATATCTCTAATACATATTTTCTCTTCCTAATCTCGCGAGAGAAACCACCCAACCTATTTGGTGAATCAGATAAATGTTCATCTCACACTGTTTGGTAAGCCAGATAAGTGTTTTGCAAACTTGCTGAGAATGTTAATAATTTAATCTCCATGAAAACTCTTAATAACTTCTTCATTCAGTTGCAGCTGAATTCATTGTTACTTCATTCGAGATCAATGACACATTCTTCAAATAGTAAATGCTTCTCTTTCACATTTCGTATTGATGCAAGAAACTGATAACTATATAACCAAACAGGATGAACGAATTGAATACATGATTTGTGGTGTGGTTCCTCCATCTAGTGTAGGGCGTAAGTGCCAATGCAAGCAGTTCTACCAATGGCATGATGATAGCGTCTCTGCAGTACTAAATACTCTGGAGTAAAGAAAGGTCTTGTTGTATCTTCCCGTGTTGTAAATTATAATAACAAGCATTTAACTTATATTTTACTTTCATTTTCACATACAATTTGATAAACTTATTATTTATTTTGCTTTAATTAATTTTCTCATTATAATACTTCAAGACAAGTGAAATATTATTTTATTTCGAGACACACATTTGCGCATTTATGTTTCTACAACGGTACACGTTGTGAATGGTATTAGATAATCTTAAATAATTATATCTTGTCATTATTTTGATCATTCAATTTAAATTGAGATAAAATAACTTAAATAAAATATACTAATAAACTGATAGAAAATGATGATCCATAGGGTGTAAAAGGACAATAGTATAGCTGTATACTATTGTCATTTAACAATGTCAAATAGTATTAGCTGAAAGCAGGGGCCGTTAACTGACCCAAATGATAAGTCGGCGTTAAAATACCGGATGATGAGAATGCTGATAACGATAAAAAAGGATAGATTTGGAATTAAACATTAAGGCTGGAACAGGAACATAGTTTTGCAAAATGAAGAGAGATATTTGGCTTTGCTCACCGCGCGCCCGAGGTTTGGTGAGCAGCTTGTAGACGATACCGTCGTAGCCGCTGTCCTGCGCCACGCCCGAGTCCTTAACCAGCTTCTCCTTCACCGCGATGCACACGTTGTACTTGGCGAAGAGCGTCTCCAGCTCCTCGAACGCCTGAAAACAAACAGTAAATTTCATTGCATTGTCCCCTGTTCCAGCTCCGTGCTCTAGAAGATAAATGAATTAATTTTTTACATTTTTTTGCCTAAGACACCTTTTTGACTAAAGAATACGTGATGGAAAATAATACATCATTTATAACATTTTTGTCTACAAAATACATTAAATTATTGAATACAATTGTAATGTAAATATTAACGTCGTGCGGAATATTTTAAAAATTTATACTTAAAAAAAGTGTAATTAAAAAAATATTTAATGGCAGTGGCGCTTCTGACATGGGTTTAATTGAACTGTGTATTATCCTTGCAAAAAATTTAAAAAAAAATTAAATCGAAGGCATTTTTGAAATAGTCTTGTTAGTGTGTATTTGGAAAATGTTCATAACTTCAATGAAAATAAGGTGAAAAGTTTTCATACTTTGAAAAAGTGAAATGTAATTGAATTTAAGAGCAAGCACTGAAGAGAATGCACCAACAAAAAATTTCTAGCTTCTACAATGAAGGTTTACGACATGTTCGAAACATATGCCCTTAATTTTCGAAATTTCAGGGAGTTTAATGAAAATAAGTAAAATAGGATTTTTATAACTGCACTTTTGCTTTGAGCAAGAAATGTAAAAAAACAAATTAATTAAAAATTAGCAGGTTTTTGAGTGTAGTCAGAGTAGACAATACACAAATTGGAGAAAATCCTGTGAACGACCTAACGATCAGACAGACGGACGGACAGGCAGGTATGTAGGCAAAGAGATAGGCTTACTGCCACGCAAACGAAAATTTTTGACAAAAATCCCTTTTTCGGTATCAGCGTTCTCTAAAACGTATATTTCTGTCAAAATCTCGTCCTTGATGTTTTATATCATTACAAGACTTACAATTTATACAAGAAAAAATAAACGATATAATTTGCCAAACATTTGTATTTTGCTCGGAAATGTTTTCACGTTGTGACCTTGCCATCTCACGTTTATAAAAGATGTAGTAGAATGTATAACGATACTGTACATTATGAAAATTATAGACCTTGCATCAATTTGGTACCTCACATAAAATAAGCTTTTTAATGAGCTTTATTAAAGTTCCTTAAATTTTGTTATATAAAAATAATTATTAACATCTATAAATGGAGAACAGATGCATTGTAAAACATATTGCACTAATAAACATTAACTTTTTGAACGAGTACCTCAAATGACATAATCTTCAGTTTAGTCAAGTATCTGAGCAAATTGTCCCAAACAAACTGCGGGAACCTATCAATCTTTCCTTTGTCCGACGTGAAGAGAGGAAGAGATAAAAGGCCGAAATATAAGAGCGAAGTCAAACAACTTCTGTGAGTCAGGGTCTTACGAGTACAATCACTGTAAATACTGAGTGGACACATCGGTATTCTCACTGTTTTGGATTTGTGGAAACTGTTCAATGGGGCTTAACATCAATGAGATTCAACAGTCTTGAATAGAAAATGACTCACTTTATTTTCTCAAAAGTAGTTTTTTACATTGCCTCTACACAGTTTCCAGACAAACTCTATTGAGTTCAAAGTAGGAAAGCGAATTATGCATAATCATTACAAGGACACTTTTGTACGCTAAGAATACGTCAATATGTATTGTTTAAATATTATTTATCTTTAAGAGGAAGGAGACCAAACCATTTCAGAAACATAGCACAGAAAAAATGAAATTTGGACATCAAAGAATTGTGGCACCATTCAAAATTTCCGGATATTTCTGAAAAGAGGCAAATTATAATAGTACCCCTTGCGTTAATAGATACAATTAAATTTAAAAAAATACTTACACATCTACAAAGCAAATACAGAGCTTGGTTATCAAAAAAGTAGTTAATTTTCATTGGGTGATGGAAAATTGCCTTAGGATTTAAAAATCACGGCGGGTTACGTCGCGTTGTGGAAAGTAGTGTATGACATCAAGTTCTCTCAAAATCGAAGGGGCTTTTCCGCTAGAGATCAATGACTCGATGTGACACAACTTTTATTGGTGATACTCACGGTCAGAGACCGGAGCTCAGCGCTACGAAGTGGAAACTACTCGTGACAAAAGATGAATCCAAGGAAGCGGCAAAATTCAAGCGTTTTGCGTCGTGAGTGCTCGACGGTCCCTGTTTCATCATTACATCAGCATTAATATACGCTTCATGTTTGACTGATTGGTTGATTAGTAATTCCGGGCGCGTCAGCTGCTGAGGTCATTAGTTCCGTAAGTTTAGTGCATGTTTTTATCGTTGGAGGTGGCAGTGATCTTCCCCTGCTGGATACTGAAATCCTGCGGCGACCTACCCGCCGGTTTGTGGGTTTTCCCCAACACGTATCTCCCACCAGCGGAGCACCGTACCAGCCGGAACAACCTCTAAATATCTCGCTTGGTCTCCTGCAATGTATGATAGTACAGGGCATGTAAATGCCCTGTGTAAGTAAGGGATGTGGATAGGACATGAAGTGGAGGAAAGAACGCGCGTGGTCCGTAGACCGTTTCGTAAGGTTCTGCTCCAGCCATCACTGGGCATTGATCAGAGAAATCACGGAAAACTACAGATCAGAGCATAAATGAAGTCGTAGGCTTCCACAGCCTGGTCATACCAGCCTTGAGGAAGACCACGACAAGATGGTCGAAACGTCGGCAACACAGTCTTCGACGCGGCGTCACCCGTACAGCCAAGATCACGTACAGATCAGAGCAGCCGGACACCAGAAGTCTCCCTCAGACAGCGGCTGAATTTGACCTAGCTATGTAGCTAGTGTTCAAAATCATGCTACGGTCGGGACTCTAACCGTAGGACCTGGTCAGAGGCACTGCAGTAACATCAACTGATACCCTGAGACACTTAAGCCGGTCGTGCTTTAAGTGTTCCACGTTCATTGTGTAAATTTAATGAATACATGGCAACAAAATTTCACTTAAATATTGATAATGACTTCTACCGTAAAGCAGTGTTTCATTAATATCTAACTTTCCAGTCATTGCCTTCATATTTCTTTGATTATTCCGACACGATTTTAAAATTTATTTTCGCACAAATGGAATACTTTGGGATAACAGAAGACATTAATTTCTTTCTTCTTCTTGCGAGTGTTTTACAGCTCTTGTGGCCGTTTCTCGCATCCCAATCTCTATACCACTCTATCGTTCCAGTCATTCTCTTCTAGTCCTCTTCTTTGTACATCGTTAAAAATCTGTTTCTGCCATTTCTCTCTGGGTCTACCTCTTTTTCTTCTAAGGGAAACCACTCGCACACCTTTCTGGGCCATCTCCCACAATCAAGCCTTTTCACGTGACCGAACTGTAACGTCGTGCCGAGGGGCCAGATGGACAACACATGTCGGAAGGCCAGCGAGGGGGCGGGGGCGGTCCTTTGGCGGCAAGCGGAAGGCCACCAGAGGTGGGCCCCTCCTCAAGGGCCCGGGTGGGCGTGACTCGGAACGTGGGTGTCAACTGGCGCAGAGGGAATTGATGGGTGAGTCCAGCCGCGGTGCAGCTGGACTCCAAAATTGCAAACAGGCCCACGTTTCGGGATGAGAGGACGCCGTCGGCATGTGAGGTCTGTCACGTGACTCCTCGGGAGGCGGCTGGAGAGCAACCAGCCGTGGGGATTCGAGTTAGAACCGAATCGCGGTGCGGAAGGCACATTTCACCCGCCAGGGGTTATCGCGAGCTTCGGCAGCGAGGTGTGGCGGTTGCCACGGGACAAAAGGCCAGGAGTGGCGCCAAGCCGCTGGGGTCTGCGTCAGGCTGGGGCGGGGATGCCTCAGAGGTGCAGTGCTGGGAGTGCAGCGCGTTTCCGAGGAGTATGTATATAGTGTAATTAAACTTGTAAATAAAACTGTATAAACAACTCCGCCTGTCTGTGTGTTACTCGCACCCGACGACGCCACAGAACCATTTCACGTGACCAAAGACTCATTTTACGGGCCCGAAAACAATTAATTTTTTACTGACACATTATTGCTTGTTATTGCCTTCGGTACGGAGCTCAATATACACTGCATTACTTACCTGGATCGAGAGGTTACACGTGGTTACAGGGGAAATATGAAAACAGTTGAATGATCTCTCACGGAGGGAATTATGAGAGGGAATTGTGAGAGGAAATTATGGGGGATTATGGGAGGGAGATATGAAGTGACAAACCGAGTCAAGTTAACAACTGGCTAACTAGTAAATAAGTAAATATGAATAATTAAAATTAGTTACAAAATAATATTATGTTTGTACCACGAGCGTTAACTGATTCTAATGATGTTGGGCAGCAAAAAGCCCTCGGCTATTTTGTCGCCGCTCGATCAAAAGAAATTTTATAAAACCCTAGGTGCTTAAATAATTATTGAATCACTGTGTGCACTATTTCAGTCGTTACCGTAGTCAGAAAGTCTGGCCAGCTTTTCTAGCTTATAATTTCTGCGACACGTGTACAGGTTATACCACTGTAAGTGTCCGTAACAGTAAGCCGTCTTTCTCAATGAAATCCCCTGTGCAGTTTTTTTTATTATATATCTTTATTAGTGAACGAATATACATAGTTCAGTATTATTTATACTACATCATATGTATTTTTTATGACTTATATTTAACTTAAATGCTAATCTTACAACTAAATGTAACTACACATGAATAGGAAACTCATAGAGCACCTTTGTGATTATTTAACTTCTGAAAATATGCTGAGGAATGAATCTAATGGATATCTATTTTTTGTTCTTGTTGGGAGCTGGTAGGTGGTGGCTAGGCCGTAGAGGGTGGCTTGGGTTATTGCGTTTATTTTGGAGAAGAAATTGTTAGATAGGAGCGCGATATGGTAAAGTATAGGAGGTAAATTAAATTCTTTATGCAGTTGAATGTTTGGGATGAACCAGGGTGCATGAGTGGCAAGTCTGAGGAAATTATTTTGGATGATCTGTAATTTATTAATATTAGTTTTTGAGGCATTGATCCAGATAGGGCATGCATAAAGCATTAGGGGTCTAATTATTGA